AAACTGGCTTATAGTTTTTGCGCACCTAAACGTTTCATTTTATCAACCATCAGAACACGATTCTGAGACGGGAACGTATCGTTGCCCCTCTGACGTAAGGACGTATCTCAATTTTAACGTGAGCCCTGTTTCACGTATAAAACCATGCTTTCTGGGGCTCACGCGGACATTGCGATACGCCCTTACGCCTGAGTAGCGACTATATGACCCCCTCACAAGCATCATGATAAATTTCGAGCCATAACTCAGCGACGAGTCACCACCGTTTCCGTCCAGATTTTCATTCACCTGCGCTGCCACACTGAGGAAAAACACCGTATCAAAATCAAGACGTTGCCAAATTTTCTTCGATAAAACGCAAATTTTTCGAGAAACTCGAATATTTTTCAACCAGTTTTTCACAGAATTTCATTCGCAATTTCATCTAGATAGGACGCCTGGTTTTTTCTTCGTTTTGGGAAATCATTATGAAATCCTGATTTTTGACTGCTAAATCCTGATTTCATAATTTTTCCAAATCCTGATTTTTTGCGGAGAAAAAGAGGCGAAATTCAGGGTGTCTAGTTTTTTTTTTCATTTTGGGAGATCCTGACGAAACCCTGATTTTTCCTGATTTTTGACTGCTAAATCCTGATTTCAAAATTTTTCCAAATCCTGATCAAATCCTGATTTTTTGTGGAGAAAATTAAAATTTCTGCATAAGCGTATGCGGAAGCACAAAAAAATCCGATCGGACAACCGACTTTTCTCAAATCCTGATGTAATCGGGATTAAATCCTGATTACCCTCAAATCCTGATAGAATCGGGAAAATCCTAATGCTGGGCACCCTGCGAATGTAACTTTACAGAAATAGCTCGATAAAAGAATCCGATATATTTATTTCTTTGTGCGGAATTACTGGGTACAGTTTCAAAAAAAAAACCAAAAATTTTGAAAATATTTTCGATCGAACAGCCGACTTTTCTCAAATCTTGAATTTACGGCCGATTTTCCCTCAAATCCTGATGAAATCGGGATTAAATCCTGATTGACCTCAAATCCTGATAGAATCGGGAAAATCCTGATGCTAGACACCCCGTTGAGAGTATTAGACAATTTTAGGAGTGAATATTCATAATTTTCGTCAAAAATAACGATATTTAACGGGGGAAATTTGGCAACGTTTGACTTTTCATACGACGTTTGGTTCCTCACCTTGCCGACCCCGCGGTCATAAATCTATACGCGTCCAGAAGTTCTCCGGTCGGCTAGCTCCCCCACGCAAAAACCAGATGTGCCGGCCCGGGCGCAAAACGTGCCAAGTCGAGGTTCGAATCCCGGCGCTAATCTTAGATTTTATTCCCGCCTCGAATACAAATTGGGAAGTGGGGAACAGGTAGAATTTTATGATACATGACGCTTTGACTACGGGAGCCCGGCCCCCAGCGCAGGGTTGCCGGAGCATATAGAAAATACAATTCCCTGACATTACCCTGATTTCCCAGACACATTTTGGCGAAATTCCCTGACAATTGAAGATGTGACGGATGGTTAAGAGGGCATGATTGAAAATATTTTCAGGTGATATTTGTTGTTCGAAACCTCAAACCCATTCTAGAAAGCAAATCAAGGTGATTTAACAAAGTTTCCCTGACATTTCCCGGTTTTCCCTGACTTTTTAAAATTCCCTGACATTTCCAAGTTTTCCTTGACTGTAGCAACCCTGCCAGCGGCGATGCCGAGGGTTATTTGCTTCTGCTTGAAATAAAAACTAAAAAGTCCCAATTTTCGCTCCTCCCCCTGCTACGGACTTTAGTACCTCCTCAACAGAAAAATTCAGTACTTTTTCAGTACCTCCATTTGACGAAATTAAGGAAAATTTCAAAACGTTGAATTTTTCGTTCAAATTGCGACAATAATGAAAACATTCCGGACCTTCTTGTGGAAATTCCGCACTCTTTCAGTACTTTCGGACCGCCCTTAAAAAATCAGTACTATTGCTTGACTTTTTTTTCAATCGATTCATGTCGAAGGAATCTATACCCTCCGCCTCCGTCTCAACCCTCCCAATAAAGGATCTTCAATTAAATCCAGAATCCCCGAATCCCAGGGAACTCTATCGTTAGCCATTTCGTCCCTTCGGGGCGGCGACGGCGATCGCGCAACGATGCTACGTGCGGCTCCGAATTAACGAGACTCAACACACTTGCAGAGAGATGAGCTTTCTGTTTGGACAGAAACTTGGCACGCACCGCCGACCGAAATTGGCATCGATTAGCGCTTAAGTGTTTTAATAGGCTAATTTTCCTTTTCCTTATGTCTCGCGGCCCGAAAGCTCCTGCTTGATTGGTCAGCACCCGCTCATGAAAATATTCAGAGACTCCCGGCGAAGATTTAGGTGGGTTATTTTTTTGACGGTCGACCACAGTCAACACACCGGCACGTTAATTGAGAAGAAATGGGTCTAAATACAAATCTGCTGGAGCGAAAAGAGGAGTCTTAAAAATTACGATGAGCTCAAGTCTTTAGTCTTAAGCTTTTAAGTCTTTAGTCTTAAGTCTTCAGTCTTTAAGTCCTTATGTCTTAAGTGTTGAGTCTTAAGTCATTAGTTTTTAGTCTTGAGTCTAGGATTAAACATGATGGATACATTCTAATTCCTGTATAAGGAGGTGAACGATTAAAAACATTTAAAAAAATAAAAGTGAAAAGTAAATAAGCGGAAAACTGTCGTAAATGCTTACTTTTTTGTCCCCAAAAAGCGACAATTTATATACATTTCGGGTTTATAAAAGATTCTTTTTCTATTCGGCCATATTTGCCTCAATGAAAGGTGAATGTGCGGCGATGACTCGGTAAAACCAAAAATATTTCTTGAATGGTTTGAAAATACTGTCGAAAGCTTGTCAGAATAATGTTCTAAAAACTTTAAAATATGTTGAATAGTTTAATGCTAAATTGGATAAACTGTTTAATATTTTTTTCTTCTTAAAAAAAAACAAACAAAAATTGCGGATGCATTTTTTAAAAATATTCTAGAAAATAACTGATGGATCCGTTGCAAACTTTTGCTAGAGCGAAAAAAAAAGATTGCTTAAGAAACCCGCTCAAAAATTACGATGGAAGCATTGGAAAGTTCTGAAATTCACTGTTAACTTCACAACGCATTTTAAAAAAAACTACGCCTTTTCGAGCTTCCCGCTCCATAAAGTGCTTAATTCAGAACTTCAATTTGACTTGGTCTGGATAAAGTCAGATGTTTTTTTATCAAAGAAGCAAAGAACATGATTTTCATCGAGAGTCAACAACCCTAAAAGTTCACGCAAAACAGCAATCAAGCGAACGAAAAGTCCGATAAGATCCAATTAAGGAATTTTTGAACATTAAGCAATGCATGGGAGAAGAAAACAAGTGAAAAAGGGTCGTAATTGTCCCATAATGACGTTAAGAGACGTGGCGAAAACAAATTAATTAGGAAAAAAGTAACAAGAATAAAAAAGTAGGAGATATCTGTGGGTGTATATTTTTCTGACGAGAAAACTACGGGAAGACAAGTAATTCACAGCGTACAAGTTTAAATGACAAGCTCATACCACATCTGTATTACAGTTTAATTACATCAAAGTTGTATTACACTTGAGCTAATGCAATAAAACATGCTATAAAATCCCTTAACGTGCTATAAAACATACGTGCTCTCCACTAAAGCGTCTCGCAAAATTAAGAGACATCAGGTCGGAAGTGATCAATCTTCAAGAAAAAAAGGGAACAGGCAGAGGGGCTTTCATTTGCGGATCGAAATATTCAAACCATCATTTCTCACGCTCAACATAGTAATTTCATTTGATAATCAGTGTTCTGCTTAATGCAATAAGTCTATGATAGGCTTTTTAAGCGAAGTCGCTAACTAAACAAACATCGTTGGTAATCTGCCTCGGCTAGAGTCCCTTTATACCCAGAGTTACGACAACTCACTTTTGGTTGGGCTGAAGGTGGCCTAAAAAAAATCCAATTCTGATTGGTTCTCGCTCATGGAGTCACAAACGAGTGCACCAAGATGGCAGTGACTCGAATGTGAACAAAAATAATCAAAATATTACCTAATTGTGGTTTATCAAGGGAAAATTGTTATTTCCATCGGTCCAAAGTGAAAATAGATTAAGAAATTATTCACAAACCAATCTCATTTTCTTTTTAATTGATCAATTTGTTGATGTTGTTGTTTTTGTGTGACAGACATCGCAGGATTCCTGATCCTTATCCCTCAATATCGTTCGTTTGGGTGCACTCGTTTTGTGCCGCCATGGCCAGCAAAGGCCGGCTGCCAGTCAGCTGATAATCGAGTTGTCTAAACTCTGGGTATAAAGGGACTCTAGCCTCGGTATGAAACACGAAATATGTCACAGGAGGCGCTGAAAAAATGTTTTCCTGAGTTACAATTTTGACTTAAAGCGTCGTTTCTCGTCAACAATTTTTTTTTTAAGTCAAATCCGCGCAGATTCAACCCAACATAAGTTTTTTATTTAGAAAAGCGTTGTTTTGTTATCGTTAAGTTTGGGGTTAAAAAACTATACTGCCGTGCAACGCAAAAACACCGTAAACGCCATTTTAAACTCTTTGGAAACAATATATCATAGCAGGTAAACTTGGGTACTTTGGGACAAAATTTTCACAGAATTTACTCTCAAATACTATCGAGCACTCAACTTGAAAATTTGAGGTGCACGAGTAAAACAGTTTTTATTTTAAAAAGCGTCAAGTTCGAAAAAACGCAGGAAAATCTTGATAAATTTATGACATTCTTGCCTAGCACGGCAGTATAGCAAAACAACGTTTCTTTAACTCAAAAAAACTGACTTTAAGTTAAATTCGCACGCATTTGACTAAAAAAAAAAAAAAAAAAAAAAAAAAAAAAAAAAAAAAAAAAAAAAAAATTGTCGGCAAAAACGACGTTTAAGTCAAAATAATATCACAAGTAAATTTTTTCAGCGAGTGTCTTGTAAACGGCAAGGGCATGAGGTAGACGGGATTTTGATGTGACTGAATACGGTATACATCCTATTTTCGTGATATCACAGGTTTTTGAAAAAACCAGATTTTTTCAAACAAGCTCTGATTTCCGCGCGGGCAGCGTCCGTGACAGAGTGTAACGGCATCCGTGGAGGACCCCCGTAATATCCGAGGATGTCCATGGCGGCTTTCAAACCGGGGACTCCATGTTTCCAGAATATCTGCAAAAATAGAGAAAGAGGGTCGATTGCTTTTTCAGCTACTATGATAAAAACAGTCGCTTGAATCTAGTGTCCAGACTCTTAAAAACATTGACATGAAAAGAATTCTCTTGATTTAATCGGACTTTTTGCTTGAATCAATAGGAAATTTGCCTAAATCAAAAAGCTCGGCTCTTGGATTCAAGGAAAAGTCGGACTGAATCAAGATTATTTTTTCTTGTCAATGTCATCAAGAGTCTGGACTCCAGATCCAAGCGACACTTTGAGATTTTATGAGCCGGAGGTTGATACTTCATACGATCAAAAGTATTATATCGCCTCTTGAAGAAGTTCGAACAAGAATGTTAGATCGCTAATCTTTTGCTCTCACAAAGGCACCATTTCGGGGCTAATGGCGAGGCAAACTATGGGGGTTGAAGGTGGCAACTGGCCAACTACGGTAATATGTGAGCGAAGCTAAGTTCTGTCGTGCGAAGAAAAACACCATATGAGCAATGAAAGATGGTTTAATATCTTCTGATGGCATACAAATTTTCTTAACGTTTCTCAGCGTGCGAAGGATTTTTCTTGACATTTTTAGACGAATTTAATTTAGTTTGTCTGAAAATTTGAAGTGTTTGTAACTTGGCTCTTCAGTTCATGTTTAAAGATAGTTCAAAGATAAAGATAGTGTTCAAAGATAGGGAGCAAATACATTAGCAGGGCTGCCGTGTTTTCAGTTTTAGAGTCCCCAAATAAAGTGGCAGCCCTGTCAATGTATTTGCTCCCTATCTTTGCATGGAGAGTTTGTCTTGGTGTAGAGGTGGACTCTCAGGACAGCGTGGGATATCCTCTCCATTTTGGCCTCAACTTGAGAGCTTTTTTTGAGCTTGGGAGTTGATTTCAGAGAAAACCAGTGGTACCATCGTGTTTCTCACGAACTTTTACATCAGAATCAACGGTCAAATCGCAAATTCCTCACACATGCACTATCTTCATTGGAGAGGGGGGGGGGGNCGGGCTAGCGTTCCGTAATTCTTAAGGGGGGATGCAACGCTGCTTTACGGGTGCGTTTAAAAGGGGGATGGGGGTCAAAAAATCTAAGAAAGTGCGTTACGTGATACTCGAACGGCCATTATACTATTACGGCGTTACTTCAGCACAGAAGAGTTGCTGAATCGCGCTGAAACGAAAATTGACTCCGGGCGTTGATACTGGGATCTCGGGTGAATTCTGGAGCGAAATTATTTCAGCTCATCCGGAAAAAGCTTCGGATATAACTGATCAACTAAGTGCACGCTCGCATTCTAAAAGAAGCGGTGAAAATGAATCGGAGGTCGGGAATGTCCGAGGCAGTGGCGTGGCGTGCTTTGCGATATATCGATTGTTCTGCCATTTAAACCTATGGTAAAGAATCGATTACTAAGGTGTTCGCTGCGAACACCCTGGTTATCAATCCTTTTCCATAGGTTTAAATGGCAGAACAATCGATATATCGCAAAGCACGCCACGCTACTGCCGAGACGGATCCGAACCCCGAACGAGACTGCTGTAAATTAAAATCACTTCAAAATGATAAAAATTATTTTATAGATATAAATGTTGAAGATTCAATTGCAAATGGATGTGAATGGTTGGGATGAAATAAAGCGAATATAACAAGCGTTGAATATTTTAATAAATATTCAGACTATGTAAGTTGTGCCGATCGAATAAAATTGAATTAAAATCTTGTTTCGAAACTCTGTCAGCAGGTTCGATTTTTCGACGGCTATCAGGGTGTCTACTAAGACAGGCTGGCTAAAAATCAGTACTTTATACGATTAATTTTATTTCTACAAAAAGGCGTCCGATAAAATCGAAATTTTATCTCACTTTATCATGTTTTTTGGTTCAATATTATTGAGCTAATTTGCCCATTTATTGCAAAATGCGATGAAATCGTAATTCATTGCAAAATTGTTTATACCAAAATATTGCGATAAATCTACCTCCATAAAATCGCGATAAATTCTGCTATCAAATCGCAACCTATCTGCTACTTGGGAAACCCATTTTTCTCGGAATCACCATAATGTCATTTATCAATATGCTCATGCATTGGACTCTTCATCTGAGATACGCCTATTAAATTTTCACCGTTGATAGCCTCTATTCTCACCGTGATTTCTGGCTCGACCAATTTCATCTGCAGCTCCCGTGCTTTCTCGTACTGTTTCGACATTGATAGTTCGTAAAGTTGGCAAACTGCTTCTCCATAAACCACGCAAAGACCGTTAATGCTGCCAACAGAGCCTAGAATATGAAAACGGGTAGAATGATTAATATTTTAGGATTAAAGTCTTCAGGCCGATTACTTTACTGGGCGCTGAAGAGGCTTAGTAATTAAATCTAAATCTAGGGGGTCCTGGCTCCCGCCAGAAAATCGGAGCAATTTTGCGAAATAAGTGCGTGACGTATCAGTCACCACGGAAAAAAGTCACATAGTTTTAACTATATCCTGATTTTGGCACCGGCTAGAAATATTGTTGCACCCGCCAAAGGCATTGTTAAGTCAGCCAAAAACGTGTTTGAATTGATTAGAATTCTGGTTGGCGCCAAAAACAGCCACAAATCTGGTTGGAATATCCTACTTTTTCCGTGGCATCTCTAAATTTTTATTTCAATCGAAATTTGGTCAATAAAAACTCAAAATAATTGCTCTTGAGACGACTCGTTTTATCAAAACTTTCCAAGAGAGGCCCCCAGACCCCCCTTAGAAGCTCTCCCCCTTCCCCTAGAAACCTCTTTATGAGGGGCTCTTCTGCCTCCTCTCCTAAAAAAAATTCCTAGTTACGCCCATGTGAGAGTAAATTCGGTATGACCTCATCGCGCGCCAGTAAGGATGCATTAATGGCTCAAGTCAAAAATTGGGATCAAGACATTACAAATATCTGTTCATGTTTTATAAAACTAAATGTATCACCAAAGACCCGTCCACTTCCTTGAAGAAATGTTTGAAGTTCAGTAAAATAGTGAAACTCAGGATTGCCACAGAATTTGGAAAATTAAATTCCCTGACATTTCCCTGATTTTGTCAACACATTTTGGTGAAATTACCTAACAATTGAACAAATGCCAGATTGTTAAAAAGGCATACTTAGAAATAGTTTTCAGGCAAAAATTTGTTGTTCAAAACTTCAAACCCTGAAATTTTCCCTGACATTTCCAGGTTTTCCCAGACTTTTTAAAATTCCCTAACATTTCCCAGTATTCCCTGACAGTGGCAACCCTGGAACCTCTCCCCCTTTCTTTTTCAATATACAAAACCTGAGGTTATTGAAGACGTGGAGGATAATCATTGAGGCGAAAAAGAACAAAAGGTGATAAATCAAGCTTGTTGATTTGATTCCTGAACTCGGCAATTTATAATTGAGCGGTTAACGAAGCAATCGCCGCATTGGATCGAAACTTGAGTAAGCTGAGGAGAATGGAAGGAAAGAAGCGAATGGCGCTTTCTCACACTATTCCCGAAGTCGAGAACTTTTGACTGCGCCTGAACTGAGAACTCTTCACAATTAATCCGAGTTGAAGGGAGAGACACCACAACAACCGTCAAGTTAGAACTAAAATAAACAGGTCTGGAGTTTTACCCCTCCATGAGACTTAGTATAAAAGTGAAGTCTCAATACCTCCAATTTTCACGACACAAATGGACCACGTTTAACAAAAAAGAACCAAGCCACATCAGCTACTGCCAAATTTAACAGGCCACTTTAATTTTTCACAAGAGAACATTTGTGCGGATACCTTTGAAAATTGTAAGGAATTTGCCGCGTACTATGGATAAAATTCACTGAAATTTGCACTAAAATCCGCACAACCGTTTTCAGGGAAAAGATTAAATTGCCTAATTAAATTTTGCAACAGCTGATGTGGCTTGGTTTCTATCTATTTAAGGCGGTCCAGATGTTCTTCTTCTCTGCAAAATGTTCTTAGGTAATAAGATTTCCTGGATTTTCCTGAATTTCTTTCCTGGGGGGAGGGCATGAATTTTCATAAAAATGTGTGCGCGAGGTCTCCGAAAATTTGAGAAATGCAATGTTTTGGTACGAAAGAAAAAATGTGAAGGTTCCGCAGCAAAATTTCCGGACTCTCCGGCCAGGCTCAAGAAAAATTTCCTGACTTTCCCAAGTTTGCCTAGACTTTGTTATTCTTCTCTAATGAAATGGTGTGAGGGACTAAACGCCTGCGCCTGGTTGAGCCAAAACTAATCTTCCTAGCTCAATTTTTCCCAGATCGTGTGTTATTTTTGTCGTGGCCATTAGGAAATCAATAAAAAGGTGATGAAGTAGGTTGCCTTCATGGTAGCCACCTTAAATTTAACCTTCATTCCATGGCAGGCCTTTTTTATTTTAACCACACATATAATGCTAAAAGGTGGGAGCCAGAAAAAGAGAGTAAAAAGTAATTGAACATTTTTTGGGACGAAAAAAATGTCCATCCTATTGTTTAAAGTATCTGGATTTGTTGCTCCTCATCCCCGTCTTTTTCCTCTCTATTTGTGATCGATTTTTTTAGTAGAAAAATACCTGCAAGAATTCCAGCGAGCAAACATCCTGCTGAGGCCTCAAGGATGTCAAACTGTTCATTTTGCGTGGCGACGCTTAGACCTCCTATTTTTGTAACCTAAAATAAAAATCCCATCATTCCAAATCCAACATAATGTATTCTGATTTAATTTATTAAAGTTATACCTACTCTAAAAAAATAACTTTTACTGTACGGAACAGAATGGAGTTTCTCTTCAATGTGGCAAAGTGAAAGGACTGCAGCTGATAAAAAATATGATCGAATTAAAACCAAGGTTCATATCTTTAAAAAAGTTATGATAATGCGCCCCCTCCCCCTTAATCTTAACCCCCCAAATTCATCTTAACTGCTGACAATTACAGACGGAAACCTGGGTAGTGGAAAAGCCAAGAAAAATTAATCAAATGACGCCTATAACACTACGCTCCCCTTGCTAATATTAAAATTACCTATCTACAACTTCTTTTTAATCTTAACACTTGTAAATATATACAATTTTCATGCGCATGCATGAAAAAAAATGTTAATCAATTGAACAAAAAACCGTGTTGTGAATTACGATCTGCGATCAAGAAATAAAAGAGGCACACACAATTTTAGCATCATTGAGACCTAATGATTCCTTCTTAATGGGCCAGTTGCAAAGTTCAGTTGGAACAGATGAAAAGTTACTTCCTGTACAAAATGACTCAAATATCGCGAAAAGCTCATCGGGACTGTCTGAAACGCACGCCTAACGTTATAATTTGAGGGAGGGATATGCGTTTTTTTCAGCTTCCCGCTTCAAAAACAAGACTACAGCACAGGTGAACAATTCGTAAGAAGAGTCGTTCCATCTTACCTTTGCGCACTAGGATGCTACACGATATTCGAAATGGCTGACTCTTTCGCGCGCATCTCCGGAGGAAGCACCATGGTCTTTATCAATGCTAGGAAAATGTAAATATAAACACACCGGTTGATGTAATCCGGAGTGATATGACGTGTTGGCGTCGGCCATCTTGAATATTGCGAAGCATCCTAGAGCGAAGGCCGAAGGGTTTAGATGAGACGACTCCACTTACAAAATAATCACCTGTGCTTCAGTATCGCTTTTGAAGCGAGAATCTTTAAAAAAAAAAAAAAAAAAAAAAAAAAAAAAAAAAAAAAAAAAAATCATACATCTTACGTACTCGTGAAGTTTGGATTGAAATTTCAGACTTTCCCGATTCCCTCATCGTGAATTTTGAGCAATTTGCTGAAAAGAACAACTCTTCTTTTTCCTCTGGCTGAAGTATGCACCAGACGCATTGCAAATCGTAGTTGAATAAGTGTCTCCTGTTTCACATTTTGTTTGTTCTGAGCTTCTAAAAACTTTCGGGTGAGAAAAAATGAATGATAAATCGTTGAACCAACTTACATCCGTGTCTTTGATACCAACGATATTGGGATGAGCTGCCAGTTTAGTGAGGACGGAAATTGGGAGATCAAATCCGGTGATAGCCACGTAATTGTAGATCAAAACGGGAATAGGACTCCTATTCGCTACCGTCGTAAAGTGATCTAATAAAACTTCATCCTACAGACAAAATTCGAGGATAACAATTAGGAAACGTCACACTTGTGTTTATGAGAAAACGGATTCCTTTAAGTTATCCCTGATTTCCCTGACACAAAAAAAAAATTCCCTGACATTTCCCGGTTTTCCCAGTCGCAGACACCCTGGTGAGTCCGGTCCGTAGAGCCAGTAACGTGGCGTGAATTGCGATATATCGATTGTTATGCCATTTAAACCTATGAAAAAAGATCGATTATCAGGGTGTTCGCAGCGAACACCTTAGTAATCGATTCTTTACCATAGCTTCAAATGGCGAGATATCGATAATCGATTATTCACGCCACGCCACTGGTCCATAGAGCCAGGTCCCGAGAGAAACGAGGAATTCAACCCACGCTATGAACTTTGAAAAAAATGCAGTGCAATGCACGAAGCGCGGCAAATTGGAGCAGCGACTCTAAAAAATATGGAATGAGGTCAGGAAAGAAGGACCTGTATCCTCTTATGCTAATTTTTCATCAGTGTCGTAGCGTGCTTTGCGATATATCGATTTATCTGCAATTCGGACACATGGAAAAGGATCGTTAAACAGGGTGTTGGAAACGAACACCTTACTAATCGATTATTCACCACAGTTTCAAATGGGGAAATATCGATAATCGATCATTCACACCTCGCCACTGTTTTTTAGTGGAGCTAAAGTGAGTAAAAGAGACACATCCAATTACAGCACGGTGTTAAGCGGTGTTCGAAACTCACCTTTGAGTTTTAGGAGCCAAATGGCGCATCAAGCCCAATTTTTAGGCGCCATTGGAGATTTTTTAGGGGCCAAATTGACTTTTTGCCTATATATTACGGTGCATTTAGTGAAAAGTTAGATGTAAGATGTTTTCGCAACAGAACTAGTAAGTAGCTGTAACTTATTGGGGAAGACAAAAGCGCAAAAGATGAAATCGTGAAAAATAGAAAAAGCTTTCACTTGTAGTGTTGAAAATTTCGTATAATCACCTGATACGAAAATTCAGATTTTTAGGGGGCAATTTTTAGGGACCACGTTGGCGCAGAGCCTTCATTTTTCAGGCGCCATGGTCGATTTTATAGGCGCATTCAGGGTGGCATGAAACGTAAGAAAGAAATGAAAGATTGGAAATTTCAGTGAAATATTTCATGAAATTTCACGAGGCTGTGAAATATTTCATATTTTTCAGGGGCCAGAGTATGCAACCCGCACTCAAACACCCAAAAATAGAAGAAAATCACGATTTTTAAAACCTTCGAAACATAAAAAGGAACTCGTATTTTTCAATATCTTTCATAAATTTCTGAAATTTCATGAAATGTTTCACGTGAAATTTCAAGATTTTATTTTTCATGAAATTTTGCCACCCTGGCCGCGCATTTGGCGCGTTGGCGCCTGTGAGTTTCGAACACTGGTGTTAAGATTCAACTACATTTTCGTTTACGACATATTCCAATTCCTCCGTCGCACGGACAGGTAAGGTATTAAGCCTTAATCCTCACTAGGCGTTTAGACTAATTGAACCCGGGAAAATAGAACGGAGTCGAAGTGAAAATAGAACGGAACAGAAGTGAAAATAGAAGGGATAAGATGAACGTACGCTCATATTTGATTTGAAGTAGAATGGTGGCAAGACCAGGACAGCGTCAGCCCCTTCCTTTGCCATGGCTATTGATAATTCGCAAGTGGCCTTCGTCGCTGAAAACAAAAATGTCATCGTCATCTTCCTTTATCGCCTTGCCAAATACTAATCCTGACAACGTGTTAAGTGTTAAGATAAAGTTTAAAATATTAGTGAACTGTAAAGACTCAACGTCCGTTCCAAAAACTTTGAATGATAAACTGATTCAGGCCTGAATAGAAAAAAAGTATTAAAAACTTTAAAAAGAATAACCCATTGAGTTTGATACCGAGTTTTTTTTGCTCTTTAGGTGTTCCTTTTCACAAATTTTGTTTTCTTTCTGTTTGTGTAGAAATGTTTAAATTACTCTAATGGGGTATCTATAATTCAAATGGAAGTTGCTAGAAAAATGATAAAAATTGTTTGAAACAAGGGGAAAACTTTCCTTAAGATCGAGGAAATTTTTGTTCATACTTGAAAAAAAATCCCGTTTTAAACCATGCTTCTATGTAAGAAAAAAACGCGAGTCAGAATAATTTGGATGGCATTTAGCAAAAAGGAACCAGCGTGAATATAGCGTTGTAAAAATATTTCTCCTCCATAATTTCATAATTAACTAAAAAATCTGCCAGGATAGCAAATAGTTTTGGCTTCCCACTAAATAATTGTTAATTTTAAAGGAAAGTAACTGTGTGAATTTTAATACTGTGCATATTTTAAGCATTTTCAAAAGGAATGGAGAAGTTACACGATTTTGAAAACACTGTATTCGCGCTATTTCCTTTTTACTAAATGCAAGCCATTTGTAAATTAGATTTTTACTAAGATTTGTCCTTAAATATCCATGATGCGCGATATAAAGAAGGAAGAGAGAACGGTCTCAATTCTTTACAAGAGTATGAAAATCCTGAGATCACAGTTTGCCGAAAGATCTTTTTTACGAGTAATGTCACATTAACTTCCGATATCGCTTACATACCCGCGATAGATGGAGCATAAATTCAAAACTTTCCTCGTGGCGGTCCCACCTTGTTAAATTCCACCTTTATTTTCAACATATGTCAGTTCTTTCGGTGCAAGTTTCCCCAATGCCAGATAATCGTTTCGTAAGTCGATATCTCCTTCGAGTGAACTCCCGAACTTTTCTTTTTATTTCCCATAGCACTCACGGGTAACGCGAAATTTATTTGCTTCCAAAATTGATCCGACATTTACAGTCAGAAACTTCCAATGTTTCTTTATTTCTTACAGTGGGTTACTTGCATAAAGCATTGAATCGTATTTCAAAGGACGAAAGTTATGCAGCAGAAAATAATGACACCCAGTTTCTTGGTCCATTATTGATGAAGTTTGAAAAGCTCAACGATTGACGTCATACTGTCACTGGCGCATACTGCCGTGCTAAGAAAGACCGACTTATTTTCAGTGTACTCAGGGCATTACTGCCGTGCAACGCTAAAACGCCGTAAACGCCATTTTACATTGTTTGGAAACAACGTATCATAGCAGAAAAACTTGGGTACCTTGGGACAATGTTTTTACAGAATTCTTTCGCAAATACTATCAAAAACTTAACTGGAAAATTTGAGGTGCATGGGTAAAACAGTTTTCATGTTATAGAGTTTTAACTTTTTTACGTTCCAAAAAACGAGGAAAAATCTTGATGGATTTACGGCGTTCTTAATTAGTACGGCAGATTATTTTCCCAAGAACGTCCGAAAATAATACGAAATATAAATTAATATGCAAGACATGTCGTCTTCTTACATTCACACGTGGATCCACCAATTATGAGCCTATCGTTGGATATGAGTTTCCGAGTCTCTCTAATGAGAGCCAATCTCTCTTCCGGACTGATGTACGGCAGTTCACTGCAAGATCCACCCAGCACATAGCCTGGAATGTCAAGAATCAGAAAATTTAGAGGATGCAATGAGGCCATTTTACTTGAGGGAAAAATACAAACCGAAATTGCCGGATTGTTGAAACTGTAACTGGCTATGTCGGCAAGGTAAAATAAGACATAGCCCAATCTGCGCCGTGTAATACATCGATTTTAATTCTTCTCATGCCGACATAAATTTCAACAATCAGGCTGCAGATTTGACTTTCTGGTCTGATAGTGAAGGATCCAGAGAGGGAATGGCGTGGTTCAAATTGATAAGATATGATGAAAGGAATATAATGAACGAAGATGGATTTCTGGAGGAGGTCGGCAGGTTTTCTAGAAGAGATTGGGTCCGCATTGAAAGAGTGCGTTAGATCATGGGAGTCGAAAATTACATCGAACTCAACGTCGTATGGTCAGGTCATGTGTTCAGGATGACGGAGGAACGGCTGCCGACATTGGCGGATCTAGTGATTTGAGAACATCGGATTTCCTCTATTTAAACCTATGGAAATGTATCGATTCTTGGAGGGGCCAAGTGTTCGGACAAGAATCGATAATTTAGCATAGGTTTAAATGGAAAAGATCCGGTGTTGCCAAATCGCTGCATTCACCAATGGCTGCCGAAGAAGATGCTTGATTAGGTTCCTCCTGGGAGGAGACGAAGGGGACGCCCAGTGAAAGGATGGCGACAGGGGATTTTAGAGGAAATAAGGGATTGCCAGCTCCCTGAAGGGCTTTGGGAGGATAGGTTGGGCGTCGCAGAGCGCCAGAGAGCACTATGAAAGCGGCTATACTATATGTATGAATGTATAATGAGAGGGAGAAAGGATGGAATGCATGTACTTCTACAACACGACAACTCGAGGAACTTATAACTCGAGGAATAAACTGTCTTAATATAAAATTACAACAGATGCTCCAAAAAAATTGATAATAATGTTAAGGTGTTGCTGTCTTCTACGTGCCTGTGCAAAAAAAGGGTGACAAGTCTGTTTATTTTTTTTCTTTTTTCGGATTGAGAACTCCTCGACTTATCAAAAACTGAAAAAATTAATTGATTCTGTACAATTGACTGTTATCATGGGATAATATCGTTTTGAGGTACTCCTCTGAATTTTAATTTTTTAGCTGGGAAAAAAAAAGGAAAAATTACCTTTGAATGGAATTTTTTCCCACAAAGCTACATTCTTCTTCCAGGCATTAAAATCTATGTTATCATCTTTATCGAAAGGCGTTGGAAGGGGTGGAAACACACCGTCCAATCGGAATTTTCGCTTTGGGGAAGCTCCAGACATCTTAGAGATTTTGGCCTGAAAGAAAATGACCGCCGATAATTGGAGAAAAATAAAAAACGACTCATTCATAAAGTTATCAGCCTTTGACATGAGGAAGATAAACCTAACTTAAGTAAATGACCTTCCATACTGTTGGAGTACTGGAAAGATCTTCATCGTTAGTATGCGTCTAAGACTGTAACGAAACGGTTGATATCTTCAAAGTATATTTACATTTGTAATCAAGGAAATCAAGCAGTGAACTCNTGAAAGAAAATGACCGCCGATAATTGGAGAAAAATAAAAAACGACTCATTCATAAAGTTATCAGCCTTTGACATGAGGAAGATAAACCTAACTTAAGTAAATGACCTTCCATACTGTTGGAGTACTGGAAAGATCTTCATCGTTAGTATGCGTCTAAGACTGTAACGAAACGGTTGATATCTTCAAAGTATATTTACATTTGTAATCAAGGAAAATAAACAACAAACATAATTTGCTTGTAATCTATGTGCCGATTTCTTCAGTAAGGGTGGAACATAGACGGTACAACTGCAAAAACGCGTACCTCGATTTACGACGCTGTAGACTTCTTGTCATTTCATAAATAAAAAATATGCTCAACGTCAATTCTCATAAATTCTCACGATTTTTCCTCTCTGTTTTAAAAATATTCAGTGATAATTTCAAGCAATACTATTGGTTTGTCTTCCTCGAATAAAACAAAACAAAAGCGGGAATTTTAATACACACCACAGAATAAGATACGCGCTTTCGGTATTTCACCATTGACATACTATTTTACATAACATTAACATTTATGTTCTTCTCCTTTCTGTTGTTTTAGTGCCTCCCATTATATTTATTGACCTTTACCTTTGCCTTTACCTTTACATTTATTTATTATTTAGTGATGGTTGACGCGGAAAAATTACTATCACTCTAAAAAAAAATATTAAAAACAATCAAAGACAAAAGTAAGATGCTTGCGGATCCTCATATAAACACATTAAGACTCTTAATAATAATTTAATTTGTTCAGCGGCTCTCCACGAAGATAAGATAAAGAATGAAAATAAGTCCTTATTCTAGTGATAACAGCCCGACTTAACTTTTTTATGAGTAGGTAAGGGTTTTTAATTGAACTCGAGATTTTCGGTTGATTGTGAAATTAAAATGGACTTAAATTAGCTTTCTTAAAAATTGGCTTAGAAAATAGCCTTCGACATCTAATCGAGACATCAAACTACACGACTTGGTTCGACTGTTTTGGATTAATTTTCTCCCTCAAAATGACATCCTATTATATTTGAAAAAAGATAGTAATTTGCCCTTAGTGTCAGTAACAAGTGAAAATGTTTTCCGGAGACCTCACAATCTCACATTAACAATTCAGCCAACATAACAGAACGAGGCGAACGTTAAATTCGGAGGTAAACGTTATTAATCATCAATGATGATTGATGAGCAACTTGTTGAGGAAAAAATCAAATAAAATTCGCCTAATAATGTGTGATGATCGTCGGAGTGAGCTTTCTGCTGAATGTTTTTGCAAATTAGGTAAGGGCTGCTAAACAAATTGCTGAAGTCTTTTTTCAATTGTCTCAATTCATTTCATTCCCGTTCATATTCATGAATCCGAGCGTTGTCTACCGGAAGTAAATTTTACACACCAAGAGAGATAGCAGTAGAACATACTCTGTCTCTGTTAGTAACCATTTCAGCAGGTTCATACCTCTAAGCTCGATGGGATAAAAACTTCCCTTTGATAAAAAAAAAATTACTCCTCCTAACATGACCCATTTCCGTACCCTATTTTCCAGGGGGGAAAAATAAAGAACAAACGTATACGCTAAGCCGATGGCAGCTCCGTGGAGCGCCCTGTTAGAATACTCACAACACAGTATGGAGAGTCAGTCGACCGCAAAAGCACACTTTGAACTGTTTGAGTTGTCTGCTTTCGCGGCGAGCAGCGGGAGGATATCGCGGCGTGTTGTCAAGTCCCCTGATTCCGAGGCACTGATTGGCCGAGCACTTGTCGTACACAAATAATTGATATTAATAACGAAAAAATAGACAGCGCTCTCGGCCTATCTCGTCGATGATATGTGGAGCTGTCGAGCAGTTGTGCTTGAAAAACACAAAGATCAAGTTTTTGGTCATAGGAACCGAACTTCGGTCCACGAAATCAAGACTTTTGTTAGCCATACTTGGACTTGTATTTTTTTTCGAAGAATTTGGTTTTATGACCCGAAATTTGGTGATTACGAACATAAATTTCAGATGCCTGAATCGTAAGATTCAGGGTTACATGGGGGCTGTCTAGTCATTACTTAAGAGGGTGGGGTCTCGGTTTGTCTTTTTAGGGTCCTACGAGTGGGGAGGGGGGACGCCAATCCTAGTCTTGCGTTTAAAAAACAAACATACAAAAAAAAAACTTCGGTACTGGAGAGAATGTTTTATTAATATTTTTAATTGTTGATAAATTGGACTACATTTTGCAATTTGGAACTAAAAATTCTAGCCCGGTTTAAAGTCAACGTATGTGCCATTAGTTTCCGTATGCACTAAAGTGGTTTTCCAGAAGAGCCAGAATTTATAGTTCCAAATTGCAAAATGCAGTCCAATTAATGTGATATTTGTTGAAAAAAATTGTATTCGCACTTACCTACTAGCACGTCGAATATGATTTTTCCAGCGGAGGAGTGGTTTATTTCACACGCATGTTTGTAAATGTAGCATTGGATACAATTTTCTCTGACACAAAAAACAAAAAACACAGACACTGGGAAAACTGAAACGCACCGTCGGTGATTTCCTTCCGGGGGAAAATTTTTGATTATGAAAATTTCTGATCGCATTAACTAGCAACATTTTGAAAATACCAGGAAACTTTTTAGTTCCCTTTTCTGACAACTGGGATTCGTGTTGAAATCAACTGGAAATATTTTGCGAAAAATATGCTGGAGAAAAGTGACTTAAAATGCGAGTATAAATGTTTGATTAAGGAAGAGAGGATGCATAAGTACATCAAGAAAGAAGTCCCTCATATCAAACAGAAAACTGCTTTATTCAAGCAATTTCACTATTGATTCAAAATGAAATCTTCTTGATTGCAAATTCAAGGATGCTTCTGCTTAAATTTAAATTAAATTTTTCCAATGTACTTATTCTATGGAAGCTCTCCCTTAAATTCAAACAGAAATTATTTTCACTATGAGGATTGCCAAGACAGACACACACCTAAAAGTGTATTTAGACTCAAGTGCACATTAGAGCAAAGACATTACATTGCTCATTAAAATTACATTAGGAAGTATACTTCACGTCATAAATATTAACATACGAGAAAACTTTCATTTAAAAAAAGAGAAGAATGAAAATTTGACGACAGAGTAAGGGCAAATAATTGAAAAGCGATATTACATCCTTGAGCATGAGAGAGAACAGAAATGTATAGATATTTCTGATTTTAAATTCGTTTCAAACATTATTCATCCCTAGGCAAACAAAAAAAGATATAACGCGGTTGAAAAAGAGATGAAAAACATTAAAGAGAGACAGAAATATTCAAAGGGCAAATTCCACCGTAGGGACGCAGAACGTCAGAGGCGGATCCAGCAATTTGGCAACAACGGATTTCCTCCATTTAAACCTATGCTAAATAATCGATTCTTGTCGGAGCACCTGGCCCCTCCAAGAATCGATACTTTTCCATAGGTTTAAATGGAGGAAATCCGTTGTTGCCAAATTGCTGGATCCGCCAATTCTCATACGAAACGACGTAACTCCGTTCCAAAATTACAAAATTGACTCAAACGACTTCTCTTACAGTATGATTGTGCCGTGACGTCTGACATTTTGCTGATTTCGCGTAAAATCAGAGGAGAAATCAGTGGAATTTTCAGTAAAATATGCACAAGAGTATATCCTAGTGAAAACAAAATTGGCGAATGGAGAATCGACAAAATTTAAATAAAGTTACGTCCTTTCGCCGGGAAAACAACTATAAAACTGCCGTGCTATGGAAGAACGCCGTATAAACAATCGACAGTTACCAGATTGCCCCGGACAAAACATGTATTTATTGACGAAAATTATACGTATTTTTCTAGAAATTTTCAGATATTTCGGATAAAACTGCGAACAAAATCGTCTGGAAAAATTGAAGAAAAATATTCACAATTTCTCTAGTTCATTAGGTTTTTAAAAAAGAAAGTACGGCAACGTTTGAAGGCTCATACGGCGTTCTTCCATACTGTCATGCTTAGAAAGAACGCCGTATGAACATTCGAGAGTTGCCAAAATTCCTTCGTTAAAATGCTTAATTTCGAGGCGAGTTGCGAATATTTTTCCTCTAAATTTTCAGAATTTCCAGGTGAAATTGCGAAAAAAATTATCTGAAAAATTGGGAGGAAAACATTCATAAGTTTACAAGGAAATTTGCGTATTATCACAGAAAATTTGGCAACGCCTGAAGGTTCATACGGCGTTTTTCTTGGCACGGTAGCATAGCAAAGCAGAAAAGCCCTCCACAATCCTCCGCAAACCCTCCGAGCCGCCCAACAGAGGGCTATTTTTCATTTCGAGGTAATTGAACCTCTCATTCAAGAACGACAAAAAGCAGTGGGAACAAAACAGCACTTGCGCCCTTTATCGCATGAACCGTTTAATGCCGATCCGAGCGTGCATTGTAACGAACACGTTGTTACAGTGAACAGTCGCGGTTCGGTTAGCGCGCTCGCCGCCCCTTCAATCTCGCTCGATGCAACAAGCAACAATGCCGATGCATTCCCGACGCGATGACTCATTGAAAGGGCGAGCGCACCCCGCGCTTGCACGTGGGCACCCTTACGCAGTGTTGCCGGTTGGCAAAGTAATTTTTCCTCGGGATCATAACGTTTGGTACGTGCGTTATTGCGTAAATTTGGCAATCGCAAGGGTTCTTAGCCTCCGCCTAGGGACACGAGGGCTCGGAAAAACGGGGCTGAGAGGAATGCGTGATGAACTTGTAACTATGCTGCCGTGCTAAGGAAAAACGCCGTATGAGCCTTCGAGCGTTGCCAAATTTCTCTTGAAAAATCACTAATTTTCGAAAAAATTTGTGAATATTTTTCTTCCAATTTATCGGGTAATTTTGTTCGTGATTTGATCCAAAACGTCTGAAAATTTCAAGGAAAAACATTGATAATTTTCTTCATAAATAAACAGTTAATCGGAGGAGATTTGGCAACTCCCGAATGTTCATACGGCGTTTTTCCTTAGCACGGCAGTATGCGAATGCCACGGCTGCCGATCCGATATGGAAAACTCGTTTTTTGGAGGCCTTGGAGAAATCGACGCGTTAAGGATCCCTTCCAGAGAAATCATGATATGTCCCTTATGTGTGACCATCCACAGAGACAAGGACCTTAGTCCGCGAAAATTGAAAATAGATTAATATCAAAGATTTGGTTTTATCATTTTACCGGAATGGATGTTGATTTCCTGGATATTATTTTTTCGACCGGTTTTTCTTGATTTCTGAGTTAGGCTATGTACTTGTACATTTCGGAATTTTCTTCCTTCTTCAGGCCAATAATGTTTGATGGTTGTCTAGCACTCTTTCGTTGTGCGTGCTTGATGGTATATGAGAGACACATTAAAAAATAAAATATCGGAAACATAAGAAATAAAAACTAAAAACACGTAGACTAAAACAAATTGACTGTGGAGGACGCACTGGGTCGCGACCGATATCTTACTGAAGAAGGAAGAAAATTTCGAAATGTACATAGCCGAATTCAGAAATTAAGAAAAACCGGACGAAAAAATAATATCCAGGTAATCAATATCAAAGAGAACGAGAAGTTTTACGATCACTTTGAGACTAAAAATTCTTTAAAAAAACTGAACCTGAGCCAGCAAGGACGTACCCTACACTGGGAAAAAAACACATTGGATCTAGAGTCCAGGCTCTTAAAAACATCGACAAGAAAAGATACTCTTGATTCAATCGGATTTAAGCTTAAATCAAGAACCCAGCCTCTTAATTTGAGCGGATTTCCTTTTGATTCAAGCAAAAATCTGATTGAATCAAGAGTATTTTTTCTTGTCAATGTTTTCAAGAGTCTGGAATCTAGATCCAATGTGTTTTTTTTCCCAGTGTAACCATGGTAAATAAAGAGTTTTGAAAAAAAAAAAATTCTTTCGAAAATACTCTTTTATGTACCGGAAAAGTCGAACCGCCGCCGAACTTCCGATCTGGATTGAGATTTTTGGGCGTTTTTAGTGCCAAAATGAACGTAGAACATTCCTCCATGCTTCATTTCAAACATTTCGTTTTGAATTTTTGGAATTTTGAATTTTTGAGCTTTTGAAGGTCCTTTTCCCGTACATGGCCACGTTTCACTAGACAATCCGAAAAAATGTACATGCATGTTGACGCATGTTTTGGACTGGAGCCAATGACCTGACAAAATACTATATTCAAGTTATTGAGGGACAAAGAACAAGTTTCCCCTTGATTCCTCAGATTACTCTGACATTGGCGTTGGACACCTCCACCCACGATCAGAAACTTCACCCCCCCCCCCCAAAAAAAAAAAGTCATTGTTCAAGTTTCCAGACTTATCTATTAGAAATTTTCAGCTGTAGAACTGCCTTCTCTCATGAAAAAGTTCTGGTCTCAGTACTACTCGTGGATAAATACGCTTCCGCGTTCGGTCTCTTGCGGAATTCAGTCTTGCCTCATGGTAGCATTTCTGATTTG